TAGATCAGCCCAGAGATTGTTTCAGGGTTTGATCTGTAAGTTAGCCATGCCCTGACTTAGATCAGCCCAGAGGTTGTTTCAGGGTTCTATCTGTGAGTTAGCCATGCCCTGACTTAGATCAGCCCAGAGGTTTTTTCAGGGTTCAATCTGCAAGTTTCCCGTGCCCTGACTTAGATCAGCCCAGAGGCTGTTTCAGGGTTCATTCGGTGAGTTAGCTATGCCCTGACTTAGATCAGCTCAGAGGTGGTTTCAGGGTTCGATCTGTGGGTTAGCTGTGCCCTGACTTAGATCAGCCAAGAGGCTGTCTTAGGGTTCGATCTGTGAGTTAGCTGTGCCCTGACTTAGATCAGCCAAGAGGATGTTTCAGGGTTCAATGAAATATGAAGGTTTCATCTAATATATTTCAATGTGTTTCAGACATCTCAACAAGGTAATTCAACATCATTATCAAAAGATGTTGATGAAAATTTAAAAGGAAGATATCATGAGGTAAGCAAGAATCGCAGATTACATGTATATTGGTTAGCATGAGTGGCATACGCTGTTAACTCATCACCTTTCACCACCGTGGTCCCAAAGATTCAGGTCACTGGTTTGAGTCCTGCCGAGACTATATGTGAATTGATGGGTTTGTTTGATTTTTTGTTCTCTCCTATGCTATTAATAATAATAATAATAATAATAATAATAGTGATAGTAATAGTAATAGTTAATAGTAATAGTAATAACAGTAATAATAGTAATAATGAGAATGGGGTTAACAGTGGATTCCACAGAGTTGCTCTTCTTCCACTGGATTCCAATTGGAATTTAGAAATTGATTTTACAGAGGGGAAAAAAACAGAGAATCTGGAAAGCCCTCGAAGCACAGGAGAGAATCAAGAAGCAACTCAACTAACAGACAACAGGGTTTGAAGGGTTTTCTCCTGTTTCCCCCTGTAAAAATCAACATAAAGTAATCTGATTGAGTATTACCATGATTGAGAAGGGTGATAAAGCAGTAGTACCCTTGCCTCCCAACACTGGGTACTCGGGTTCAAATCCTGGACCCTGCCCTGGGCTCAGGGTGTGATAAAAATGAATACATTAAAACTAATAGTCCGTCATCTTCACTGACAGTTAAGAACACGACAGAATTTAATGACTAAATCCATGAAGGCATGTAAAAGAGAAATCAAAGAAGTTTTCAACTCAAACACTGTAAGTAATCTACCTCACTCTTTAAGTGCATATATGTTATTTACCAGCCAGGAGGTCTGGATAGGGAAAAACCTTTGCCTGAGGTCTGGAATATAGATCAAGACTGAGGACAAAGTTTTTCCCTATCCGGACCGACTATATGACGGTAAGTAACTTTTTTATTTTTTCCCCGTATTTTTTAAATTTGTTTTTGTAATCGCTTTGTTTTGTCGTTGAGCGGCAAAGGATACCGAACTGCGAGCGTGGCAGATACTGACAAAATACTGCCCTCTCAAACAGCCAATCAGAATGCATGATTTTTTAGGATACAGTCCGGAAAAAAATAATATAGGTTACTATCAATAGACGTCACTGGCGGTAATATTTGTGTTTTGACTGGGGGCAACATTAGAGCTTGGAGGATGTTGAAGATTATTTTTATGATTGTGTATCTTGATTTCTGGTGTCAGGCAGTAGAAATAGTCAGATAATTTGAGAACTATTTTGACATGTTTTGACTTCAAATTTGCTATGTATATTAATTGCCCCCCAGCTAACTCCAAAAGGGTAAGCAATTAGCTATTCTAAGGTTGAGTGAAAGACTGATCGCCGTTTCAGAAATACTTCCCCGTAAACAGTCCCACAATGCACTGCAATGTCAACTCAATCCAGTCTTTTCCTCAACCCTGGAATGGCTAATACTTACTGTCTAACACAGAACTTTTTTCAGGACCATTTTTAGTTGACTGACATAATTTTTGTTATAGTGAAGAATATGTATCCACTATGTTTAAATTTTTTATTTCTTGCCAAGCTTTCAGATATATTGATCGAAAGCTTTGCAAAAAGAAAATATTTTTAAATGAAGTGGATACAAATCCTTTAGTACAAAGCATCCTAGTTACAAGAATACACTTGGATTTATTTTTGTTCTTTGTTTCTGCTTTTTTTCCAGACTCCTAATGGTTTCTTTCTTAAAAGCAACTTTGAATATCTACGTCAGAACTATAGGAAGTCAATCAAGCTACTAAACAGTGCACCCAAGACAGGCGGCAATGTGCTTGAGACTGGAGAAAGTCTGAGTACTATGTACTTTAATAACCTGGGCTGTATTCATTATCAAATGCACAAGTATAACTTGGCAGCGTTTTACTCCAGACAAGCATTAGAAGAAAATGATAAGGCTTTGTCGTCATTACCACCATCAGAGAAAAGTGAGTGTTCTATAAAGATGTTTATGATAATGATCGCTATGATGACGACAACGGCAATGATGTTGATGATGACAATGATGACACTTATTATTATAATGATGATGATAACGATGATGATGATAAAGTTGATGATGATGACGATAAGCATAACGAAAATTTGCCAATTTATACCCGTGTTATATATACCACTACAATAACTCTATTAGGAATATCAAATAGCTGCCTATATTGATGCAATGTGATATAAACATGCTGGGAGAGAAGGAAGCTTAAAAACACAAGGCAAAGCTGAGGGTCTATCTCGCTTTTCGAGTGCTCTGCAGTTCCCATAGTGTTTACATATATCACAATGCAAAGACATAAGCATTCTGTAAACAGGACTCTATCTGCTGATAAACAGTAAACATGGTAGCCAGCCAATCAGTGTGCAAGTTATATCCTGCCAATCAGAGTGCAAGTTATATCCAGCCAATCAGAGTGCAAGTTTTATCCGGCCAATCAGAGTGCCCTTAATATCTCAAATCATAATACTTAGTTTGTCTTTTTGGTGCTGGATGATGACTGACTAACAATTTGTATTTTTCTTGTTTCAGACAACCCCTTACATAGCTGTCCCTTGGCTACCCTAAGGCTTAGTCAACGGCATGAAATCCTGTATAATCTTGGTATACAGTTGTTATTTTCGGGTAGACCTGAAGCGGCATTTGACTGCTTGGTTGAATCGATACAGACATACCACACAAACCCAAGGCTGTGGCTAAGACTGGCTGAATGTTGTATACTATCACATCACATGGTAATCTTGATAGCGGTGCTTAATTAAAGTGAATTTTTAAATTTTTGTGACTCTCAGAACTTCCTAAATTAGACCTTCCATCAATCAAAAATCATAGTACTAAGAAAACAGGGCTAAAAATAACAGCTGGTTATAGGGACAATGCTCGGCCAAAATTATTCAGTCAAATATTTGGCTTACTGGCTGGCATTTTGACTAATAATGTTGAGCCAGAAACAAGGTATGACAGAGGTAATAATAGTAATTTTCTCCGGGCACTCTGGTTTTTCTTACCTCCACAAAAATCACTTTCTAACTTCCAAATGAAATCAAGTGGAAGAAGAGCTACTCTGTGGACCCCCTGTAAGTTTCCATTTATTTTTATTTTACTGAAAAAGAGTCTTGATTGTGTGTTTTCCTTATTGGTGTTTTCCAATAGATGGATGATTCAGAAGACCAGAATCGTATTAGAAAGAGTGACATTGTCAAGTCTGTCATAGGTAGTGGGCCACATCGGAAGATAATCTTGGCCTCACTGCTCAAGGAGAAGGGACTTATCAGGTATGTGGGAAATCAAGTGTGGAATAGCAGTAGTTTACTCGCTTCTCTACTCTGGGGTTTTGGGTTTGATTCCAAGACCCCACATTTCAGTTGAGTAGAGGGTTGCTTACCATTTACTTGGAAAAAGTGGAAATTCCAGTTGGAAGAATAAATAGTATGTATTATTCTGGTTGGAAAGTTCAGGAAACCTTGGTCTTCCAATTGAGGTAATCCACCTCCCCTCCCTCCCCTTTCCATTTCTTCTGTTGGACTCGTGTACCATTTGTCAGAGGTCAAAGTTTCCCTGCTCTTTTCTTGCCATTAGCAAACAAGGCTTTTTCATAGTATAAATAGAGGATAGAAATGATACTTGGATATTAGTTCAAATTTTTTATCATAGTAAACAAATTAACAATTAATTTTTTTTTCTTGTTTAGTGCCGATAATGAAAACAAGTCAGCAGCCATGCCTGCCTGTACCTTAGAATTCTCATCAATCTGTCTTCAGAATGCTCTACTATTACTAAATGTAGGAGAGGATGATTTGAAGTCCATGCAGCAGAGCTGTACTGTAGAAAACCATGTTGAGAAGCATGATTTTGATGGTTTGGAAATGAATGGCTCAATGTAAGTAAAGCTAGCAGTGCTCAATATTATGTGAAATCAGTAGCTTTTCAAGATAATCATTCAATACCTTATACTTTTTCGACTCACACCTGGCTAGTGAAAAACAAATTCGGACTTACAAACTCGCAAATACTAAGTTTGTGTAATCATCCAGTAAAAACCCTTTAAGTATTCATGGTTCTGACTTGAACGACTGAGAATATCTATTTACTACACAGAATAAAATATTTTTCATGCTTTTCAGTTAAATGTAATCTAATTAAAAACAATTTTCTGCAACCAAAGTTTCAAGTTATGAGATATTGTAGGTAAATGTTTAAGGTTGTTAGACATAGCAATGGTTACAAAGGGTCAGGAAAATGAAATGTTGAATGATTGTGGAACTACACATTCAATATAGAAATGTTATATATCACAGTAATATTGTTGAGTGTTGAAGGCATAGCAACAGTAACTAGGGGGAGTCAGAACCGTGAATTTTACCAACATTATGCACAAAATATACAACACATAAAGTTTTGTAAATATTTGAAAATATACATCATATTACATGTAATATTGGAAAATATTAATTGATAATATACATCACATTAATATTTGATTTGTTTTATATTAGTGAGAGTGATATGCCAAGGAAAATGTCTACAGGTTCTGTAGAGTGCAGTATCTTGGCTCTTCCTGGACCACCTATCAGGTTAAAAGAAATACCAAACATCAGGTACGTAAACAGGTCCTCAGCAAGAAAGGGGTGTAGAGCTCCTGGTGGTGTTCATGTTCCTCTAGCTTGACCTCACTGATTATCTTATTATCACAGTCGCAGATCTCGCCCCATTACTTCATTCCTGCAAGGTGATAATGAGTATTGAGTGAGGATATATTACTATAGGGACTCATAAGCCTGTCACAAACAGAGACTGAGCAATCAGTCCTATTGACATAAGAAATTGCATATTTTATTGATTAATTCTTATCAATACATCTTGTTCGTTTATCACTTGTAGGTGTGCAATGCTATGTTGTAGTGCATACGTATCCCTGGGATTAGGAGACAATGTGACAGCTTTGGTTCATGCACAAAGATTACTTGAACACACTAATATTTCAGGATCACATAAGTAAGTCAGTGGTTTGATTGCAGTGGCCAGGCCAAAGCAGCTCAATCTGGAGGACAAAACAAAAGAATTCCAATCTCCAAAGAATAGGGAACCTATTGTTTTGATCCCTAGATTGAGCTGCATTCCAAAGTGCTGCACGGGATCTATAGAAGCTGGCACCCTGCGAATTTTTTCACCTATTTTGATTAAAGTTCCCCAAAGTTTAGGCAAAAATTAATGTGAGAAAGATTCACTCGCTGCTTCCCACCTATACATTACTTTTTTCACTTCCTCAAGCTGGTAATTATTAGACATTCCAAAGTTGAGGGAAAAAACTTGGTTGAGTTGGCATTCCAGTGTATTGTGGGGCTGTTTTAGGGTACATATTTACAAGATGGTGTCTATTATGTACCCCAAATGTATGTATCCCACAATGCACTTTAATGCCAACTTGACCAAATTTTTCCCTCAACTTCAGAATGGCTTATTGATAATTTTTTTCCAGGTCTATCAATTATTACTTTTGTATATTTGTTTGTGATGAAAGTAACACTCTTGGTATTTCTGTTTTCTCAGATTTTTAGGACATTTATATGCAGCCGAGTCACTTATCAAATTAAACCGTATTTCAGAAGCAATTATGCACTTATCTCCAGATAATGTGAATGATATAGATATAGGAGGACCTGTGGTTGAATGCCCTGGAGGTACGCTTTGCAACTTAAACTGTATAATCATGGTTATATTATATTTATATTTATAATCATATTTATATTTATTGACTTTCTCAAAAATAATGAACAATCATACAAATATATGAAAATATATAACAAACAAATGGAAATGAAAAATGTACATACTAATAATGATATACTAAGGTTAGACTCATTCATAAGGGTGTTTGATTGGTTTACAACCAGCGGGGCTTATAACTGGAAGGATAATATTTTGTGTTTGTAAACTAGTGTGCTTACCAGGGTCATCGCTAGGGGTGGTTCGATCGTTGCAAGCCCCCCTCCACCCAGGAGTACAGAATAGGAGTACAAGATAATTTTAACACTATTTTAGTTTTTCAAGAAATGGTATAACTAAGATTGATAGAAAAACAAACCTCCCCTTTCAAGGTTCTAGAAATGGACGTGCTTATAGCTGGGGGGAGGACCTGGGGCTTATCCTTGAAGCTGCTATTTTTACGAAGACCTACAGCTCAGCAATAAAGAAAAAGAGCAAAATAGAGGTTTTTCTGGTTTTTTTCATTTTCCTGCACGCAACTTATTCCCAGAATCCTTATTTTGGAGACATGCTCCAACATTCTAAACATTTTGAACATCAGCTATTTCTGAGGTCACTTACCTTTATGGGCTTCCTGTGTGAAAAACTTGTAGCTATAATAAACATAATTTGTAAGTCGTAGTAAGTATCTTCTTTTTTTATTGCCTTACTGTAGGAGGTTCAGAAAAGGTAGACAAAGAAAGAGATACCAGACCACACTGTAAGTTGATTTTAATCTGAAGATTTTAATCACCATAGACCTTTTTCTGAGATAGAGAACATGGTGCATTGTGGTCTAGCTTGGGTACAAACATCTTTTGTTCATCATGCTTTACATGTTATTGTTTGTACTGAAGCTAATGCATCCTGTTTATGAAACTCACAAAAAGGCCTATTCCATGTTAGATGTAATACAGATGACAATGACCTTCTAAATGTGTACATTGTACGTATGTCGATTGTTGGTTGTCCATGAAATCAATGGTCAGCCAATACATGACCATTGATGGTCATGCACCAGCCAAGGAGTGGGTTTTTGTCAGCCAACAAATGATCCGGGGTTTATGAATACCAACTTTTTAAAATGCTTTTTAAAGCCTTTCTGTGACAGAGCCATGTTAGATGGCAGGGACTATACAATCATTTTACATAAGAAATTCAATTCCCAAGAGCTAATGGATTTTATTTATTTTATTATGGACCCATGATGATACAAAACCTATAATATGCAGTAACAGCATTATTTATTTGATATTTTCTATCTGTAGGTTGTGGGAAGATTGATTTTCCACAGTCTTCTAATGAAGGCAAAGCTGCTCTACTTTGTAACCTTGCAAGTACATATTGTCTGAAGAATGAATATGACAAAGCAAAGCGCTGTCTAAGTCAGGTAATGGTTATTACCATTAATAAATTTTAATTTATTTATCTTTACCACTCTGAGGTAGACAGAAAGCCTTACAGGTCTAGGACCCAATATTACAAGGCAGCTGATAGATAGAATTAGATTTTTGTGGAGGGAGGAAAACCAAAGAACCTGGAGAAAAACCCTCAAAGCACAGGAGAGAATCAACAAATAACCTACTCACATTATGACATGAGCCCAGCGGGGCTTGAACCCAGGTTGCATTGGTGAGAGGCAAGTGAGCTTACCGCTATGCCACCTCTGCTTCCCATTAAGCTCTGATAACTTTATTATCATTTACTCAGGGTTTGCCTCATTTCAGCAACAAAATATCTGCAAATACCATCAGTTAAGTATTGATGGTGAGAATAAGGCTTTTAATAGTGATTCTTTCATTGATTCAACAGGCAGGTTCACTGGGTGCTCAGAAGTCTCTAACAGCTAGAATGGTTTTATTAGCAGTTTACATTGAATTAAAGTGTGGTGAGTCCCAGTCATATCATAGCAAATACCTCAGCCATGAAATAGGCCATTTGCAGGACTTCCTTCCAATGTTTAAAGACCTTTTGCTGGATTACTAATATCATATCCAAAACCTTTTACAAAATAATTTTTTCCCTTATGAGCTCCTTCTGATTTCAAGATATGAAGCAATTTATTGTTTGTCATCCAGCAAATGCTACAAATTCCATCAAGAAAAGGCATGATTTCTTTTGTATTTCAATGTTAGCCCCGAATCCACAATATTTTCAGAAGGGTCCATTGCCTTGTCATGAAGCATAAATCTCAATCGCTGTCATTATAGACCTCCTCAGCTCTGGAGCGCTCAAGCGTAATGTTGTCCCATTTCAGACCACATGTTATTCCCTCGACAATAATATTCTTTGAGTTTTACCCATATTCATGTGTCTTCTCCTGTGCAAACAAGAACAAACCTTAAACAAAGAAATGATACTCTAGGGAATGACACGTGGTCTAAAATGGGAAAACATTATGTCAGAGCGTCTATTTCCCCCCTGGACAACCTACAGTGCCTTGTGATCCAAGATGGCTGCCACATTCCTTCATTTCTTTTTCTTTTCAGGTAATGTTACAAATGCACTTCAGATTATCAAGAAAAATCAGTTTCTACAGTTCAGTAATGGTAAAGTGAAACAATCTAAACGACTCAGTGACTACTGGAAAACTTGATGATTACCTAGTAATATCCATTAATATTATCTTATTCTTAATTAAATGTGCTTTGTCTATCTTCTCTCTGGAAAACTTTGAATATTTTAACTGTATTGTGACAAATACAAATATTAATACTGCCAATTTAAATCAACAAAAATTTATTTTTGTGATTCTTTATTCTATTAAAATAACTTTATCAGATAGATAGCAATGAATTAGCCTTCTACATGTACACACAATGCTTTGCCACCCATTAGGGAAAGGAATGTTCTGCTTAAGCATGCAGACATTCATGGGAAATGAGGCATTGTGTGACGACCCTAAGCACGTAAGAGGCTCTGTTGGAAACTAAAAAGCTATTGCCCTAACATAAAACAAGAATAAATTCCTGGTAGATATCTAAATTTCAATTTTAAATTTAAAGCAAGGAAAAAAATTCCTTGGGAAGTGTTTGTTTCATTACATGCCTTGACATTAAGGCAAGGAAAAAATTCTAGAAAGAAGATTGATAAGCATGTTTACATAAATGTAGCATGTTTCTAAATACTAAAAGATTTTAGAACCATAAAAATACTGTCACTATAATATTGAAAAAGCTGTTGTTCATAACAAATTAATAATCGGAAATAACAGCATTTCCATGACATTTCTAAATAGATTAATAAAGCTATTTTGGATGACTAATTTTGTTTGTTTTTTTGTTCATAAATGTTTTTAGCACTTCGGCTAAAACAGTTACTATATTAAGTTTGCTATTGAGTACATTATTATACAGCTTCTCATTAATCCCATATAGGTAACTGTTCAATATTTCTTTAATTGGACAGGTCTTGTTGATATAGGATTAATTAGGCAGCTATATAATTAATAGATAATGGGATTTCATGCTCCCCAATTCCTAGAAAAATTCCTCTGACTGCCAAATTGGACTCGGCCTACGGCCTCATCCAATTTTGGCAGTCAGAGGAATTTTCCTCATCCAATTATTTCTTAATTGGACAGCATGGAGTCCTATTACATATACTAATTGTTATGTCATGTCACACTTTCAACCATCTGAGTTTTAGAGAACTTGAACAACTGGAAAATCAAGTTCAAGTTTATTCACAATCAAACTACAAAATGATAACACTTGCAATTATATTTAGATAATGTAAAGGTAGCATATTGCAATATTTTTGCCAAGGTCATCAAGAAAACCATTATTTAACATTGACATTCAATTCCAGTCACTGTGAATCTCAAAAATTTGAGCACTTTTCATGCATTTACATACTTTTTTGTTTTGTTTGTTCGTCATAATTGTTTCAGACATTTTGTTTTCCTCCCTCCATAAAAATTGAGTGCTGTGTGTCCTAATATTAATAGTGCATGTATTGGTAGTGCATGTAGCTGCCAATATTGCAGAAGAACCTCATATGGAGAGGGATTGTCATAAAATATGTTATATACGTTTTTAGCCATATTTCTTTCCCATTTTATAAAATCAATACGATCCACAGAAAGTACTAGACTATACTTTTATTTTTATAATTTTTCATCATTTTTTTAATATAAGAGGTAAACAGTCAACTGACCCTCTTCATAATACAAACAGCTCAACATTTTTTTGAACTCTTCAACTTGATAATTATGTAGCTATACAATAGCTTATGAATACAAAAACTGTTTTTATTTTCTTTCTCATTCACTGAATGAATACCAAGGACATATTACCATGCATAAAGTCAACACAATTGTTTGTCAACAAACCAAAACAATAGGTTATATAAAACTCTACTGGTACAATAAATATACCTCTGTCAATTTATAATATTATCAATAATAATAAATCTTAATAACTATTTGAGTTCTTTGTTTTACTCGCTCTTTTGTATTAATTTTTTAAAACATAATTGCCTAAAAGCATTTTTTCCCTTTTTGACGTACTTTTTTGTTTTGTTTTTCACTTTTTTATTTTTTCACTTGAATTTTTCCTTTTTTGAACATTTAAAGCAACTTACTATAATATGCTTGCCTGAATCCCGAAGAGGAAAAAATAAGAAGAAAAAAATGATAATATTTTAAAAGATGTAGATAACAACTAGTTTTGGAACTAGCTTGAACAGCCTCGGTGTTTTTTAGTTGAAACAAATGTGTCCTAGGAGTCAAAGGTTTGATTGACTCCGACAAGGGACTAACGTCCAAAACGTCAGTCTACTATCTTTCGTACCTACGGTGATAAAATTATCTACTACAACACATTTGTTTCATAATACTTTAAAGATTAATTCACAAATTCAAGTGTTTAAAATAAAAATCTCTTATTGTTATTTTCCTCAAAATAAATTATAGAAGACTTCTTAGGTTCAAAATAATTTTCTAGATTTTTTAAAAGTGCAAATGAACCCTTCGACAATACTTTCAGTACTG